TATAATAATACAAGAATAAACTGTGTTTTGCATACTCACAACTGTAAACCTAATTTTGTCCACCCCTGTATTGCATGGATATTCTTGTATAGCTATACTAAGAAGGGAGAAAAGCATAAAAAATAACTCCAAACCCATTATATTATATTTTAAGGTAAAGTCAGAGTGAAAATAGATAATGACATATAATGTTCAGTGAAAAAAGATGTTACCAAATAGTATATGGAGGAAATTCCCAATTTGGTGAAGGAAATATTTCTTATATAATTTTTCAGTATATATCGAAATATTTATCAAATATACAGAGCGGGGCAATAGTAGATTTACAGTTGTTCAAATGGAAACTAATACAATAATTAATAAAACAATCTGCATAAAAAAACAATCGACATACCACAGAGACATATCTTGGGGTGACTCAGTCTGAACCTCCACAGTTGACATGATAAGGAGAGCCAAGAATTCTAGGAAACAAAAAGATAAGGGAAGAAAGCACCAACAGGGTACCACTAAAGGGAAGAGAATGAAGCCATTTCTGGCAGTTTTGTCCAACAAGACCTCAGGCAAGATATGGGAACACTCAGCACAATTGGGGAAGTTCCTGCCCAAAGGTTAGAATGGCGATTTAATCAGGACGTGTGTAGGAGAAAAGAAAAGGGTCCATCCTGAACATGTACTGATCTCCTAATGTATTTTTAATCTGCTTTTTAGAATTGTGTACAGGAAGGATTCAGAAGTAATTAGAAATGTTGGGTCCATACCTCCCACAGTCCTTAATGCATGATTGAACAATTTAAAATATATGGAGAAGGACCGAGTTCTGGACTGAGAATCAAAAGAACTGAATATTTGATGGCAGCATAGCCCATAGCTTCTTCCCTTTGTGCAGCCCATTCACCAGTCTGAGCTTTGTTTACTCCATGTCTAAAATAATGACGTGGTACCACGGAGCCTGTGCTATTTCTACAGTAGCCTATTATGGTCAGGATACAGCCTTGTTCTGTGGTCTGGAAATGCATGCCCAGTGCAGGGTCTCCTGGAAGCCTTCCATGGGGTCATGCATGGGGTCATAAGGGGTTCAAGACCACTTAGCCCTGATCTAGCACTGACCCACCTACTTCTAGTCCAATAGACCACCATCTCTCCTCTACTACTATTCCAACCCACTGCCGTGCTCTCCACTGTATATGCATTACTGGAACTCAGAATACAACTCTCCCAGTGATGTTTGACATTCAAATAAACAAACAAACAAACAAGAATAAACTCTGTTTCTTGTATTCTCAACGGTAAACTTAATTTTGTCCCACTCTGTATTTAGAACAAATCTCTTATTTTGGCCAATGATAGCTTGGGAAAAGTATCAAATTTCTGATTATTTAGATATGTCATTTAATAGTCAAATTACCTCCCACTGAGTTCTGTGTTTTCCTTGTATGTCAAAAGTGTAGAGGCTGGCCTGGGAGATATTGTCGGTGGTTCAAGACCACTGCAATAAAGTTGAGTATCACAGTACAGAAAGTAGTAATCTTTTTTTGGTGGAGAGGCTTGCCTTCCATCTGTAAAACACACATTTGTGAAGTGCAATAAAACAGGTCTGCCTGTAATCATTTTAATTTTAAGTATTATATCTGAATCTGGGGCCCACTTGTAGCTTTTCATCAGAGATACCAGAGGTGATTTCTTTCAGACTCTGGCTTGAAATGGGGTATTAACTCCCAGTGCTCATATACAAATAAGTAGGTGTCATTTAAGGAAAGGAATCATTAATGCCTAGCAACCTTGACCTTTTTCCTCTATGAGTGATGCATTAGGTGTTTACAGGGTATAAAGATAAAAAATCCTAATTAGATGAAGGGAGTCAAACAAGGTCAGTCCTTAAATGCTTTTCTTCAGTCAACAAGTTCATGAAACCAGAGAGATAGAGATCATCTACGTATAAAGTGTGTCAGCTTGCCAACCATACACATTCCACCACAAACCCCCCAAACTTGCCCTCCAGGTAAAATCTTTTGATCCACCCTCTACTCTTGCACTGTAAGATCAGTTAGCTAAAGAAGTGAATGGTGGAAGAGAATATATGAGAATTCTTTTTCCCCCTACATAAACACCAGTTCTATTCCAAATAATCACAAAAATTTAAGAATTTTTCTAAAATAGTTAAAAAATAACCCCAGTGTCATTAATTCTGGAAATTGTTTTGCACATTAGTACTACCTTAGTTGAACTGTAACATTCCAAAAATTCCAGCACTTCTATAGATTTTATTTTTAAAGTTAAAAAAATTTCTATTTAAAAAAATGTTCTTTTTTATTTTTCATGATAAATGATGCTACTGAAAACTTTACTTGGTAGACCTTTAGTTACTTTCATGATCTTTGCAATCTTACAAATAAGCAACACGTATATAATATTTATAAAATAATAATAAGCCTGTCTAATGGCTTGCATTGAAGGCCAGGGAGTTGCATTTTGTTAAACCCAAATTGAACAGAGTTGAATTTAGTTTAATACAGGAAAAGAAATGCTCTGGATGTGTTGTCCTTTATATTTCCTGAAGCACCAGATGAAGTGTAAAAAGTTCAAAGAGCTTCTTATTATTCTTGATTTTAGAAAGTTTCTGTAGAATAACACTGAACTTTTCTAGTATTTGAAGATCAAGCTTAGGGGTTCCAAGCAGCTGCAGAGCAAGTACCAAAAAAAAATCAAGTGTTGCTACAGGCTTCCAGGAAAGGCTGCAAGGGTTTAGATTCCACTGTTATCTGGAGCAAACTATCAATGACATTGGCTAAGAGTCCTTTACTGGATATTCTTAGATGATTTAATATTACTGCCCCAGGCTGGGCAGGGCAGGGCTCAGGGAAGTCCCCCTTGGAGTTGTTCTCCACCTCAGCTCCAGCTTTATCTTCCAGCTGAGGAGTCTCTAGACTGTTCCACTCCAACCTGGGGTCCACAATAGGCCACCCTGGGGAAACACGGGTAATCCCCCACACCAAATTTCTGATTCCGGACTGAGAGGACCCTGGAAGCCCAGCCAGGTCAGAGGGTCAATTCAGCCTGGCTCTGGCCCTCCTGGCCCATTGCCTCCACCACCCGGTGTGGGTGAGGGAGAAGTCGGAAGTCAGGTATCCCCGCCATGGGAACGAGGGCACCCCAAGCTGGGGGCCTGGTAAAAAAAAAAAATGAGTATTCTGAAGTGTCAGTTGGCTGGTGCCCAAGTAATAGTTATTTCAGAAAAAGTAACTTTCCTCATTCTTCAGGTGCTGACTATAAACTACACTCAGCTATGTTGCATGTTTCACTTACATTTTGAAAAAGCCTAAGAATCACTTGTAGGACCTGCTTAGAACCCTTTTTTGAAAACTCTTGGGTTTCCCAAGGCTTACTTTAAGCCAAAATACAATAATTTCGTAAGAGCACTTGTTAATAGCTGGTTGGTATTAGCAGTTGCAGAGAGAAATTTCTATGCCATCACTCCTTGATTATGATTTTGATATACGATTTTCAGGTACCATTTCCTTAATGACCATGTGCACTGCTCCTTGCAATTTAGTCCAAAGTACATGACATGTTTGTTTCTTTTAAAAACAATTAATTGCAGTGCTCTTATATGTTTTATTGTGTAGCTTTAATTGTTATGTGTTTTACAATAAGACCCTCCCTATTTTCAACAGATTTGAATTTTATAAACCTTTACTTATATTTTTCTTGGGGAAATATCCTGCATGGGTAAAAAATTAGATTTTTTTCTATAAAAGAAAAATTCATTTAAACTCAAAGTTGAACTCAATCTTTTTTACATGCCTCATTTTCACAAGTGTTCTAAAACTGTCTTTCATACTTGTGAAAAACTCAAACATAACCTGAATGAAAAAACTACATTGGATTCATTGCCTGAAAATGACTCCCTAAAGAGCCAGAGGTTATTTAATGATAACCCAGCAAACCACAAAAGTGAGAGCTTTCTCCTGGGAAACAACCGAAATCTACCAAACAAAATATATTGAAAGGTCACTAAAAAGCCCCTCCGGTCTCCAGGACTCAGCGTGGTTAAGACAGGCTAACTCCACTAAAGTGAGTAATTAAGAAGAGCTTCCCCAATACCCTCCTTTTCCACTACTGCTTTCTATTTAGAGACAACAGAGACAGTATTTTAACAAGATAAAGAAAAAATTTAAATCTAATTCCTGTTATTCCACAATATTCCAGCTGTTTTAATTAATTAACTAAAATTTTTAGAGAGGAAGGGAGCGAGAGATAGAAGAAACATCCATGTGAGAAACACCAGTTGGCCGCCTCCCGCATACGCCCCACTGGGGATCCAGCTTGCAAACCAGGCATACGTCTTGACCTGAATCAAACCAGGACCTTTCAGTCCATGGGACAACGCTCAAGCCACTGAGCCACACCAGCTGGGCCCAGCCGGTTCAATTTAAAATTTTTTTAAAAAAAAATCTCACCTAAGGATATATTTTTATTGATTTTGAGACAGAGAGAGAATCATCGACGTGAGATGAAACATCCATCAATTGCCTCCCCAACGGCCCGACCATAGATGGAACCCGAAACCTAGGTGTGTACCCTGACCCGGTTCCCGCAACCTTTTGGTGTGCGGGCCCACGTTGCAACCAGCAGAGCAACCCGGCCAGGGCGCAGCTGTTTTCGTTTTTCATCTGCCCATTTGATCTTTGCCTCTTCGCTTTCTCATCGAATCCACAACATCTCGTGACGGTGCTTATGTGATCTGTTTATTCCCACATTACGTAAACGTTTGAAGGTAACTATTATGTCGTGTCCTCTCTGGCCCGAACGCAGCTGGAGGACACGAGAAACAGCCGACCCCAAGAAATCCCTTGACTTAACCAGCAGCCCAGGAGTGGGCGAGGCGGGGGCGGGGGCGGGGGCGGGGGCGGCCGTCTACTTCAAGGCCCCTATTTTCCAGGCCCCGCCCCTATTCCCCGGCCCCGCCCCTGCCCGTCGCCATGTTGTTCCCTCGGCGCTGGGCGGGAGCAACTGGAGTCGGACTCAGGCAGCTCTTCAGCCGCCGCGTCCCGCCCGCCGGGTCCAGGTCCCTCTCTTTCTCTTCATTGTCCCTGGCCAGGCCAGAGCTCCCGGACGTTCCCCGTGTGGCCGCGAGGTGAGCAGGGCGCGGACTCCCTGGGGGTGGGCCGGGGCCGGGGGCTGCGTCGTCAGGGTCTGAGCGCGCGCGGGCCGCCAGTGCTGGGCCTCGGGCTGCTGGGGCAGGGGGCGCGCGGGGCCTGCGCGGGTCACTCACCGCCCCGGGAGGGGGGCGGCTTGTTTCCCCCTGCCTCCTGTTGACTGACGCAGCAGGAAAGACGGGTTCCCATACCCACACACCCGGGGACAGGCACACACACAACCCGCGGGACACATACAGACCCTAGCCTTTCCCCCAACCACTCGGGGCACGCATCCACACACCCTAGCCCACCCAAACCACATCTGCCCCCGAATGGTTCGTGTGGAGAAAGCAAAGGCGCTCGCACGATTTGATGGTGGCCACTTGGGACGCGCTCCCTAGGTGAACCCTTGCGAACGGGTCATGAGCACTGTGGTGAGGAATTTGGAATGTAAAGCCAGTTCTGGGGCTGCAGGCGGTTTGGGGTGTTATCTGATTGAGACTGGCTAAGATTTCAGGATCGTGTTCCTTACTTTCTTCCAACTTAGTACGGAAAGTGATGAGATGAGAATTGTGAGTGCGGACCAAATAGTGGTGGTGGTATTGGCTTTGTTGTTTCTTTATAAGTGATGACACATCCCGTGACCATGGTTCTTTTGAGGAATGACTCTTTTTGCTAGTTTCCAAATCATCACGTGACTAGTCGTTTTATAGGCTTTCAGAGTCCCGATGAAACCAATTGACAGAATTTGATTGCTTTCTTGAGAATCAAAAAAAAATTTTTTTTTTAACTTGACTGCCTTTCAGTCTCTGCCACGATGGTAATGGAAAATCCCTAAATTGCCTGTAATCTCAAAAACCAGTTCGTGGAGCTAAACTGTAGACCTGAAGGAAGCCCAGAACTTTTCAGTCAGCGACTTTTAAGAAGACTGTTCTTAGGTTCTCGTTTAGAAGCTTATGTTGAAGTTATCACTACTTGTCTAGAACTCAGTATCTTATTTAGATTTCCAGATCGAAGACAATGGTGTGGCAGTCTGCTGCTTTCAGTATTTTTGTGTAGACACCATAGTAAATTACTCTTGCTTATACTAGAACATTTCTGGCTTGGTGATTTACTTATTTTGGAGAGTTTTATGATGTGTGGATAATTTTGGTTTATCATTTGTGAGGGTAAAGTGGACCAACACAACTAATTAGAACATCTTTGGCCTTGATTCCAACCCCGGTTCTTGGAAATTAGGAACATACTGTAGTGCTGTGCTCTTTCCCAACCTCTCTCTTCTCTTCATTTCATTCTATCTCATCCATTTCTTCCATCTAGATTACGTTACTCTGGAGGCCTGAAGATAAGTTCCTTTGGTTTTAGAGATTAAATTTTAGCCCCCCCCCCCCCTCAATTCTTGGGCAGCTGCTCTGGCACTGGATGTTCTCTGTGTGTAAGTCCTGTACATGCATCATTTTATTTTCACAGCATTTCTGTGTTATTAGCTCCATTTTACAGATGAGGAGTTTGCTGAGGAATTTGGTGATTAGTCTGCTTCCCTTGGTCACAAAGGGCAGAGCCAGGATTCTGAGCAGGTCTGTGTGAGGTTAGAGTGGTAGTTCTCAATTGGGGACTTTGATACTGTCTGTGGGCAGTTTTGGTTCACACCTGAGAGAGAGTGCTGCTGCTATTCAGTGGGTAGAGGCCAGGGATGCTGATCAGTGTTCTACAATGCACAGGGTAGGCCCCACAACAGAGACTTTTCTGGCTCAAAATATAGCTAGTGCAGGTGTGGAGAAACCCTGCTCTACAGCAGTCTATATAACTTCAGAGCTCATGTTTCAGCACTTCTGTAGTTTTTCTAATGCAGTGGTGGTTTCCTACTTAGATACCTCCTTCTCACTTTAAGAAAGAGCAGGGAGGAAGGACCCTGACCGGTTTGGCTCAGCGGTTAGAGCGTTGGCCCACGGACCAGAGAGACACGGGTTCGATTCCCGGTAAGGGCACGTACTTCCTTTGCGGTTTGTCCCCGGCCCCCAGTTGGGGTCATGTGGGTGGCAGCCAGTCGATGTGTCTCTCTCACATCGATGTTTCACTCTCTCTCTTCCTCCCTCTCTCCCTCCCACTCTATCTGAAAATAAATGCAAAAATGTCCTCAGATAAGGATTAAAAAAAAAAAGAAAGAGCAGGGAAGAAATTTGAGACCTTGAAGAGATTTCCCTTGACTAAGAGACATATACATTCATTTGAAAGATTAAGGAATGAGCAAATAACTTCTGATAACAGAATCCATTTTTTTAAGGCAAAAGTGACAAAAGGAGCTTGAGAGCCATTCAGATTCGTAGACTTAGGGTTTTTGTATTATTCCAGTTGTCCAAAAGCATTTTCTGAGTAGCCTGTCATCCACTGATAGGTGCTGCTATGCAGGGGAGCTTACAGTCTAATCACAATCATGAGATCAGGGTTTTACTTGTCTTAGAACCAAATTTATTGCCTGGGTTGCTCAAGGTCAGGGGCCAGGTATCATTAAAAAAATAGACAAACACGCCCTGGCCTGGTAGCTCAATTGGTTGGACAATAGTCCTGTACACCAAAAAGGTTGCAGGTTTGATTCCTGGTCAGGGCACATACCCAAGTTGCAGGTTCGATCCCTGGTTTGGGGTGCATACCACAGGCAACCTCGATGTTTCTTTCTCTCTCTATCTCTCTCTATCTCTCTCTTCTCTCTCTTCCTCTCTCCCCCTAGTCCCGTCTCCCCTTTCCCCCCTCTCTTCTCCCCGTTCCCCCCTTATTCTCTCTCTAAAAGAAAATCAATAAAATCATATCTTCTGGTGGGGATTAAAAATAAACACAACAGATGCACACCCCCACACAGGTACCTGTATTATGGTATTTACTGTGCATGGACTTAGGTGAAATGAGGAAAAATTGATGTGCTTTTGATAGCTTTGTAGGTTGACCACACGTGAATATTTACAGGAATCAAATTGGGTAGCCATTGTTGAGCATAAAATTTCTTTTTAAAAAATATGTTTTTATTATTATTTTTAGAGAGAGAGTCAGAGAGAGAGAAACATCTATGTGAGAGAGAAAAATCCATCAACTGCCTGCCGCACACCCCCTGCTGGGGATTGAGCCTGCAACCTGGGCATGTGCCCCAACCGGGAATCGAACCAGGACCTCTCAGTCCATGGGACAATGCTCAATCCACTGAGCCACACCAGCTGGGCAAGCATAAAATTTCTTAAATTTAGCCTCAGTAAACAGTAGTTATGCATACATTTTATCACTGAAATCAAGAAATAAATGGTGAAAAAATATTTTTTTAAATGATCTCAGCATCATTTTTCAGCCTGTTTTCACCATGCCTATCTAAGACTAGGCCCATCAGTATATATACTGCTTCATTCTGGTGGTAGGTGTAACTTTTAGGTGAACTTAAAGGGCTGGTTCTTGTTTTAGGAATCGGTGAAAGTGTTATTCATGCAGTCAACATGGCATCTTTTGTGGGTAGCTTTGCTTTTTGACTCATGCTGATGGACAGCATGTTCTTTGCTAATGGATAGATTTCCATGCCTCTCATCAGGAGTTGTCTGCTGTGGGGTAGAAGGGATGCTAAATTATACACCTAAAATGATTGCTATCTCATGGGATCTAACAAAGGAATGTGTGTTCTTTTTTTTTTAATATGGAATGCTTCATGAATTTGCACGTCATCCTTACGCAGGGGCCATGCTAATCTTCTCTGTATCGTTCCAATTTTTAGTATACATGCTGCCTAAGCGAGCACTGTGTGTCCTTTTCTTACTGGAGGGGTTTTATTCTGGGAAGGGTCAGGATGAATTGGTGCATTGGCCTCTGAGGAATGAGTCTTGCTGGATCTGTATGTAGTTGGCTTGCTGCTCTGGCCAGGTTAGGTCACCACATTTCTTCTTCTTTTTTTTAATCCTCACCCGAGGATATTTTTCATTTATCTTCAGATAGAGTGGAAGGGAGGGAGAGAGAAAGATCGATGTGAGAGAGACACATCTACTGGCTGCCTCCGGCAGGACCCCAACCAGGGCCAGGGACAAACTGCATCCGAAGTACATGCTCTTGACCCGAACCAAACCCATGACTCATTGGTCTGCGGGTCGACACTCTAATCGCTGAGCCAAACCAGCCAGGGCAGTAGTCTTCTTCTTTTTAAAAAAAAAAATGTTTTTATTGATGTTTTAGAGAGAGAGAGAAACATTGATGAGAGAGAAACATCAATAGGTTGCCTCCTGCATGCCCCCTACTTGGATATCAAGCCCACAGCATGTACCCTGACTAGAATCGAATATGCGACCTCTTGGCGCATAGGAAGATGCTCAACCTACTGAGACACATTTTTAAAAAATGAGATTACATGACACCAAGTAGAGACATCAGATTATTGGTTTCTAAGTAGTTCTGCCCCAGGCAATTTGCTGGTTATGCAGCAGGAGGAAATAAGCCAAATGGAAGTGTGTGTGTGTAAAATGTGTCTCACTTGAAAGCTAGCTAGGTAATAAATTTGTTAGTCAAAACCAAGGACAAGAAAATAGGGCTTGTGATTAAGTAGGTCATCAACAGAGACTATTTATTAAGCATTTAGGGGGGAGGGTTGAACTCACAAAATGCCTCAGGGAGTTTGGAAAGCTGTGATGCAAATGAAAGGTCAGAATACTTGAGGGAGGAGCCTTGGGAGACTGGTGTGCCCTTGGAGGGAAGCTTGGCTGCTTTCTGCTGGGGCGGCAGGCTGGAGGTAGTTCCAGGCAGTGTTTACCAGGGAGCCTGGGGGCACCTGGGCTTTTTCCATAACCTGGAGAAGAAATCTGTTTTCCCAAGTGCATCTTGATATTGTACATGTTGTGAAGTTGTGCTCTGGGTATTTCTACAGTCTGGATTATTCCATTACTTTTTGTTTTTTGATCATGGCATGTCCAGGTTTCGAAATGCTGTAGCTTACGAACATGGAGGGGATGATTAGATGTAAATTAATGTAAGGTAACAGCTACATCAGCATGGGGTGAAGATAGACTGCTGTATGTTCTGGAAGAAATGTAGAAGTGAAGCAGGCATTTGGGGCTTTACTGAACCCCGCTCATTTAATCGTGGGGAGTCTGAACACAGACTTCAATTTCGTCCCAGGCCTGATGCCTTACGAATGTATGCTATTGTTTGACAAGGGATGGAGAAACAGTATGGCACAACCTGACACATTCATTCCATGGCCATATTCATTATCTAAGTGTGAAGGCTAGCAGAGAAATGTAAACAGACAAACTGAACAGCTCAGTGTAAACAGAACTAAAAGTTTTAATTCCAAGTTCTTATGCATTGTATTAGGCTTTTGGGTACAGAGGCTAAGGTAGTTTTTAGAAGGTTAGTTCTCATAAGAATGGTTGTGTTATCAGTGTATGAGAAGCCTGAAAAAAACCTTACAGGTTTCTGTTTCTAGAACTTGCTATGTAAAACTCTAATAGAGGAATGTTTAAATGATGTAACATCTCAAAAAACTTAGAACTCACTGGGCTGTATATGCTGTAAGGCGACTGTGCTAGTCTGTCTTAGCAGCTTCAGGTTTGTGTAATCAGAGCAGTGATTAGATGAACATGCCTTAAAATGCATACATGGTTTAGTTGGAAGTCACAACAGAACAACAGAAGAACTGCTTGAGGATCATATGTTGGTAAATGCAGGGCATTCTCTGAGATAAGTTCCAGTCTTCTTCTTTTTTTTTTTTGAGTTTCTGTCTTTCTTAAATGAAATTCTTTTAATAGTTGTTTTGAATCAAACAGCTGTCACCCTCATATCCTGTTCCACATTCATATTTGCGCAGTACTGGAGCTTTTATCACACCAACCCTGGAAAACCAGCTTTGCAAAGATATGATGTCATCGAAAGGAATGTGGTACAATCTAATGTTGAAACTGCAAACTCCCTCGATTGCCAGTTTGCATGGTGTCCTGAAAATGTCCAGTACCTCTGTGGTTCCCTCAGAAATTTAAAGCAGCTTGCCCTGCCCCTGTTTCCTGTACAGACTGTCCCTTAACCATTCATAGTGTTTCATTCCCATTTTCTGCTGCTCACACTTCTTTAGGAAGTAGATCTGGTTGAGAAAGGAGCCTCTGAGTACAGGGGTGGTCATGGCATCTCCGGCCTTTCAGAAAAACCTTTGCACTTCCATTCAGCCCTGGCTGGCCTGTCTCAATAAGCGTCAAGTGCATTAGATTTCCTTGTCTCTTCAATTGAACTCTAGTGGACCATTTGTTTTCCATCCTTTCAATTTTGTTGCTGTCTCATCTATAGTTCACTCTTGTTGTTCTTTTTGGGTTTGTACATTTTTTAGTCCTTTCTGTCATTTGGTGGGAGTGAAGGTAGCACATATTTGACCTGCCCTGTTTAATTAGACTGGGGACATTGTTTAACATTTGTGAACTTGCATTTATCGATCTATAAAACATGGGTGATAGTGTCCAACTTGCAGGTGATTTGAAGGTGCTGTGTGCCTATCAGATGCAGTAGAACCTTGGAACCTTGGTTCTTGAACTTATTTAATCCAGAAGGCTTTTCAAGAAGCGATTTGTTTGAAAACCAAATCCTTTTTTCCCATTAGAAATCATGTAAATTGAATTAATTAGTTTCAGACTCCCAAATGATTCCATTTTAACCTTTCTTTTTTAAAAAAATATTTTTTTCTTTTTTATTGATTTTAGAGAGAGAGGAAAGGAGAGGGAGAGAGATAGAAACATTGAAGAGAAAGAACATCAATTGGCTGCCTCCTGCATGCCCCTGACCAGGAATCAACCAGCGATCACCTCTTGGTGCATGAGTCCATGCTCAACCACTGAGCCACACCTACCAGGCTTAACCTTTTCTATATACAGTACATGTCTCATGTACTGTTTAATCTATAAACAAACACTTCTTTTTTAAAATTTATTGAACCACCTCCTACTAGACTTAAACCAGTCACTTTCAGCACTGTTTCAGGGTTGTCTTTCAGGATGCGCATCTTCTCTTTTTCACATATCATTACCTCTGAAATGCTGTCACTGGCTAACTGCTTTTCCTTTATTCAAATCAACATCAGGTTTTCTACCTCTTCAGTTGCCCATGATCATTGTTTCTTTTACACTCTTAGCAACATTAGCACTCTTGACAGCCTCTTTATGTTTTATTATTATTATTTTTTAATCCTCACCTGAGGATATTTTTCCATTTTTTTGTACAGATAGAGTGGGAGGGAGGGAGAGGAAGGGAGAGAGAGAGAGAAACATCGACGTGAAGGGACACATCGAGTGGCTGCCACCCGCACGACCAACCAGGGCCGGGGACAAACTGCAACCGAAGTACGTGCCCTTAGCGGGAACCGAACCTGGGTCTCTCCGGACCGCAGGCCGACGCTCTAACCGCTGAGCCAAACTGGCCAGGGCTCTTTATGTTTTAAATTGTGCTAATTGTCCATCTCCCAGCAACAAAAGCAAAAAACAAAACAAAACCAAAAATATTCACAGTACAATTTCCTGAGATGTTAACAAGGCGAGGTTTAGCTGTAAACTGACTCATACTAGCACTTTCTCTCCTTTATTTGTGACCTGAGAGACACTTTTTGTCATGCTGATGTAACAGCATGAAAGAGTTGTCCAGTCAGTTTTTTCCAGGAAAAACTTGGTGGAGAACTGAGTTGTTAGTGATGGAGATGTTGGGAGAACTGAGGTTTGACTGTATTTAGTAAACAGCGGTGTGTAATGTTATTCCAGTCATAGCATTTGTTATTTGAGCAAACATGACAATAGCAATAGGTAGGGAAGTGGACACATTTCTTGTTTTGGTGAATGAAGTGGGTAAGACAGAAGAAGCAAGAATGGGAAAAATAATTAGCTTGGTTTTAGATATGTTGAATTTGAACTGCCAGCAGGGTGCCAGATGAACATATAAAAGGGATTGGAATTCTTCTTGTCTGGCCCCCAAGGGGTGGGTGGGTGGAGGTGGACTTGAGTTTAGAAATCACTGGGTTTTATATCTCAGGGAGATATGGTTTGGGAAGAGGTAAGGGCTTCATTCAGCCTTGCCATTTAACAACAAAAGCTTGTTAGAAAAGGGAGCCACCTAGATTGCTGAAAGCTAAGGGGTGAAAGGGAGAGAAGGCAGAACCTTTTGTCTAGGGTAGTTTTTTAATCATTATTAATTTGTTTTTCTTACAGATGTTTCTCCTTTTTTCCCCCATTGACACCCTCCTCCCCTTCCCCGCTGCCCCATCCCCAGCTTTGTTGTCTATGTCCATTGGTCATGCATACATGCATATAAGTTTTGTGGTTTACCTATTCCCCCAAACCCCCTCCTCTGAGGCTTGTCAGTCTGTACCCCACTTCTATGTTTCTGGGTCAGTTTTGTTCATCAGTTTGTTTAGTTCATTATATTCCACATATAAGTGAGACCATGTGATATTTGTCTTTCTCTGCTTGGCTTGTTTTGCTTAGTATACTACTCTCCAGGTCCTTCCATGCCATCTCAAAGGATACAAAAATCTTTCTTTTTTTTACAGCTGCATAGTATTCCATGGTGTACATGTACCACAGCTTTTTTATCCACTTATCTACTGATGGACATTTGGGTTGTTTCCAGATCTTAGCTATTGTAAATAGTGTTGCTATGAACATAGGGGTACATATATTCTTTCTGATTGGTGTTTCAGGTTTCTTAGGCTATATTCCTAGAAGTGGGATTACTGGGTCAAATGGCAGTTCAATTTTTAACTTTTTGAGGTAACCATAGTGTTTT